AGCTTTTTTTCCTTGAGAAAGACCTGGTAAAGACCTGTCTTTATCACGTTTTCCCCCAGCATTCGACGTATTTTCATAGAGATTACCACTCTTCTTACACTCATATTCATTTGGTTTTGGTAATAGTGAGTTAAATGATATAGTAACTAAGTGCAACTTGCACAAACAAGTATGGGAACAAATGACTGACTTTGGAAAAGCACACAACTCAATTAGGGAGAGAAGTGATTAACCCATTAGGGACTAGCCTACTTCCTAGTTGTAAAAACTGGGTGGGCCTTGAGCTACAGGCATATTATTCCGACAGAACAGAGGGTGGTTCAAAGGTCTGAACCATAGGAAAGCTGAGTTCAGTTAAGAAACAAAAAAATCTAAATTCAGCACTCAAACTCACATGAAGGTAGCGCTGAAATGCTTTTGACAAGAACGCTAACAAAAAGGATTTGAAGGAATCTTTCTTTGCTGGGTCTCTGTAGGACCAGCAATGCTTCTCTGTGGGAGGGTGCAATGCCTGAGCCTCCATGTGGATGTGATTAGTGTCACTGGCTCTACTCCTGGTAAATGCTCTAAAATATTAAAATATATCTCCCTTTGAAGGAGGCAGGAAAGGAACTGTTCCTAGTTTGTGTTTAATAAAATATTGAAGCCTAAAGTAGCCTTAATATGGGTCAGATTACTAAGGATAATAAATTCTCCAAAAGAACCCATTTGCTAACCAATAGGGGAAACTATCCTGTACCCTGGTGCTCCCCTGTGATAAAACAGCAGGTCTCCAGTGGGGACTGTAAAGCTGTAAGATTAAAGTATCTGAGAGAGATCTTCATTTACCTTCATTAATGGTTGCATTGCACAGAAAGAACTAGCCACCAAAACGACAAAAGTGGTGGTGCGTGAGGGTGGGCCATGGAATTAGAAGTACTTCCTCCCCACGCCCTAAATTGTCCAAAATGAAATTATACTACTTCTATAAGTAAAAGCAACAAAAACCCACCATAATTTACCACCACAGTTAATTAGTAATAATATACAGAACCAGTTTAAAGTTTTAGGCAGAGGACCCCTTTGGGTAATTCTTATTGAATTCAGTGGGAACACCAAACAATCTTTAGTTTTCCTATTGTTTTGTCTCATGCAGTTTAAGAACTTTTAAGAGAAGCAAAGATGAAGCAATGCAAATCCACAGTTGTTTTCCTAACTAGCACTTAGGAAACCCATTGAATTATGAATCTCTATCTTAAAAAGGTTTAACAGGTCTTCCAAAAGGCAGCATGGAATGAGGGTTAAGATCATGAATGCTGGAGCTAAAATGCTGAGTGACATTGGACAGTTACTCAACCTTTCTGCGCCTCAATTTCCACATCTGTGAAACAGTGATACCTGATTGTTAAGAGAATTAAATGAGTTCATGTGTAACTAATAAGTTATGCATAAGCTGCTTTTAACAGTGTCTGGCATATACAAGTTTAGTAAAGGAGATAACTTTAAAAAATATGAATGAGTATACTAAGTATATATTTTGGTGTTAAGAAGTTTTCGTATTATTTTCAACATTCATATCCTTCAATATTTTTATTTATAATAACTACTACTAAGCCTAGATAAGTTAAACTGATGCTTAATGAAATATGTTTAGGGACAAGTAACAGAAATTTTTAAGAAGATAGGTTTTACAGATTATAAAATAAAGCCTTTTGATGATGTCATGTGCTATGCCCATTAATAAACAGCAGTCCTTCCTAAAATACTCTTCCCCAGTGCAGAGACCTCTAAGAGGTGCCAACAGTGCATTGGGAAGAACCCAGTTTAAATGGATGCTAGTGGTTTTAAAATATGAATTCTTAGACACTTCTCCTTTCAAAAGGTGGAGCCTAATCCTCTCCCCTTGAGTATGAGATGGACTTAGTGACCTGCTTCTAATACATAAAATGAAGTGAAAGCAATGGGTGTGCCACTTTAAGACTAGCCCTTTCCTTGCTTGGGTCTGGAAGGAAGCTGAAGGCAGCCAGCTGCCAGGTAATGACGATCCTCAACGGCCCTGGGGAGAGGCTTGTGCGGTCTGGAACGGAGGCCGCCTGCCAACAGCCTGGGAGGCAGTCATGTTGGAAGCGGATGTCCAGCGCCAGTCAAGTCTTCAGGTGACTGCAGGTCTGGCGGACGCTTGAGTGAGACCTGAAGGACACGGAGCCAGAGCCACCAGCTGAGCCACTCCTAAGTTCCTGACCTGCAGAAACCATGTAAGTAAGACATGTTCACTGTTTAAGCTGCTATTGATTTGGGATAATTCTGCACTGCACAGATGACTACACCAGTGTGTTTATGAAGAACAGAGTGGTGCAAAGTACCCTTGGTAGGCCTGACCCTATTCACCTGGTGAAAATCCATCATTTTGACCCAAGATCTCTCGCCAAATTGCAGTAAGAAGCTGTGATGAAAAGGCTTCTTTCTTCTCCCTGCCCAGTTGCTACTTTTTATGTCACAAGCAGTCAGGGTTGTCCTGTCACTTAGCATAATTGCCCAGAACGTCTCTGGTGAAGTTGAAGTGCGGTGTCAGTGAGATAGGGGGTTTCTAGAAGGCTGGTAGCCTGGCGATGGAGAAGCCCCAAGGGTGAAGTTCCCTGCATTCAGTAAGAATTACCCAAACTGGGCTTTGGTTCTTTGTCCTGAAGGGTCAGAAACTGTATTTTACAAGAATATTCAGAACTCACAGACTAAAGTGACAGGCTTGGGGGCAGAACTACACAAGCTAAATTCATGAGACTAAAAGCTTCTCCAATTATACTACATGCAGGATGGAATCCCAGTGCCTTCATCCAGAGTCCCTCCTTTTCCTGAACGACAGACTGAAGGCCATGTTAGCAATCGAAAGAGACGGTTCAGCTAAGCTTGCAACTAGAGCCCAAAGCAGGGACAAGTCTCCAGGCACGTTCCTCCCAGACCACAGCAGGTCTTGGTAAACTGATCCTCCCTCAAGTAGAGAACACTTCTTTCTGGTCACTGAATTGTTCACCTCTCTTGGACTCAGCACCTCCTTTCTGTGGGTGACACTGTATGGACACTGTCATCTTTTGTTTCCTCCAAACCTTGTTTGGGAAAATGACTAATTCTGATCACATGATTTTTCCTCAAATGAATTCATACCACCTAAAAACCAAGTGTACCTGGGCAACAAGGAGGCTCTTCTCACTACGTGTCATTTTAATTAGTTTAATTCTCGGGGTGTATCTCTTTGCCACGTTACTGGAAGGTATCTCACAGGTGCCCTCACACGCTACCTGGATAGTTTGGACCAGAAGTCATTTATTAGCAGATCAGAGCTTGTCCAGATGTAGTATTTTAGAACTGGCACAGCATTTCAAAGATAGTTTTATAATTTCTGATCTTTTATCTAAGATAATTTTCATGTCAACAAAATCCTGAGTTGAGCATCAGGAGTTCAAAATGAATAAATACCAGTTATCAAAAATAGAGAATTTATGCAGTGTTCTCCTTTTTTAGACACTGTATAGGACAGTTTTCTAACTTGAGTCATGAGTAGTCTTAACAAAACCAACTCTTTCAAATTGGAATTATTAGGCTAATTTGTACCTGTCAGTTTCAAAAATTCAAAAAAAGATTTAGTATCCACAATTAAAAATTAAATTTCAAGAGAAAATATCATATTTAATAATATTAGTCAATATCTATTAATGCAAAAGTTGAAAAGTATGTTCCAACAAATGTATGCACTTGAATTATTAAAAATACCTAGAATTACAACAAAATCCTTACTATTTTTCCCATTTTTTAATCAGATCAATAGAACTATGAGCTCAATAATTGGTAATTAGTAATATGCCAACATAATTTTATAAATTCATGAATATATCAAAATCTCTTTTAGTTTCATTGTCCTCAGAAACCAGGAAAACCATGCGATTAATGGTCACTTGTCATTTTCATCAGATACATTCTTTTTGACTTTGTTTTCTACTAACTATACTTTCCCTGACAATTTTTGTTTTACTAAAAAGAAAAATAAATATTTCCTGGAAACAAAGTAAATTAATTCGATAGCTGCTAAAATTTCACCTGAGCCCTGTCCGGTTTGGCTCAGCGGTTAAAGCGTCGGCCTGCGGTCCGGAGAGACCCGGGTTCGGTTCCCGCTAAGGGCATGTACCTCGGTTGCAGTTTGTCCCCGGCCCGGTTGGGTTGTGTGGGTGGCAACCAGTCGATGTGTCTCTCTCACATCAATGTTTCTCTCTCTCTCTCTTCCCCCCTCTCTCCCTCCCTCTCTATCTGAAGATAAATGCAAAAAAAAAATGTCCCCGGGTGAGGGTAAAAAAAATAAAAATTTAAAAATAAATAAATAAATAAAAATAAATAAATAAAATTTCACCTGAAATTTTTTTTTTTTTTTTTTTAATCCTCACCCGAGGACATTTTTCCATTTGTTGTTCAGGTAGAGTGGGAGGGAGAGGAACAGAGAGAGAGAGAGAAACATCGATGTGAAAGGAACACATCGAGTGGCTGCCACCCGCACAACCGACCAGGGCCGGGGACAAACTGCAACCAAGGTACGCGCCCCTAGCGGGAACCGAACCCGTGTCTCTCAGGACCGCAGGCCGACGCTCCAACCGCTGAACCAAACCGGCCAGGGCTCACCTGAAATTTTTAAAAGCTACAAATCCACTACAGGAAAAGGCAAACACATTAACTTTATTATAACAAGTACATAATAAAAATTAAAAGAGTTATTTTGGGGAAAGCTGATGTAAGTAGAAAAAATGATTAAAGTATGCTCACTGCCCGGCCTCTGTGGCTCAGTGGTTGAGTGTTGCACCAAGAGGTCACCAGTTTAATTCTCAGTCAGGGCACATGCCCAGTTGTAGACCAAATCCCCACTAGGGACATGCAGGAGGCAGCCAATCAATGTTCTCTCTCATCGATGTTTCTTTCTCTCTCTCCCTCTCCCTTCCTTTCTCTAAAACCAATAAAGAAAAAAAAATTTTAAGTATGCTCACTAAAAGTCCTGTCATCAACATTTTTATTTAGTTTAGTATACAGCAGAATATATATACATAACAATATGCCCTTTCTTATCAAGGGTAGTTTTTTGTATAACTAAAATTTGTGGCCAACATTTTATATAACAAAAGAAAACTAAATCTGTAAATTACCAGAAAAGGAACAAGGATATAGGAAAAAAATACATTTTATATAAATTATAGAGGATAGTTACAATGAAAATCCATCACCTTCCTTTCTAACTCAGTTTTACAAAATAAAGTCAACTTGTATAATGCTGTGACCAGCTAAGAGGGCATAAACACTGTGGCCCTTTCAAAAGACAGTGGTCAAAGACAAAATGTTATCTTGATGTCATAGCTTGTTCTTAGTTCTTAACTGGAGTTGAGCTTCCCTTCATAGTCTTCTTTAAGTGGTGGTAGTTTGGCAAGATTTTCATCAGGAAATCCAGCTGTAGTGTCTGGGGCTGAAATGAAAAGATAATTAAGAACTGACTAACAGAAAGTAAAGTTAAGCCCTGGCCAGTTTGGCTCAGCGGTTAGAGCGTCGGCCTGCGGTCCCGAGAGACCCGGGTTCGGTTCCCGCTAAGGGCACGTACTTCGGTTGCAGTTTGTCCCCGGCCCTGGTTGGTCGTGCGGGTGGCAGCCACTCGATGTATTCCTTCACATCGATGTTTCTCTCTCTCTCCCTCCCACTCTATCTGTACAAAAAAATGGAAAAATATCCTCGGGTGAGGATAAAAAAAAAAAGAAAGTAAAGAGTATAAGTAGAAACTATTACCACTAGGTCGTGGAATTACAGGTGATTATCACTGACTTATTACTGCTTACCCCTTTAAAAAAAATTTACAATGGCCCTGGCTAGTTTGGCTCAGCGGTTAGAGTGTCAGCCCATGGACCTAAGGGTCTTGGGTTCAATTCCTGGTCAAGGGCACGCACCTGGGTTGCAGGTACAATACCCAACCCAGGTTGGGGTTGTGCAGGAGGCAACCAACTGATGTGTCTCTCTCACATCAGTATTTCTCTCTCTGCCCCCTCCCTTCCACTCTCTCTAAAAAAATCAATGAAAAATATCCATTGATGAGGATTAAAACAAAACAAAATGTATAATGAACATATATTAAGTTTGGAAATGAGAAAAGCCAAGATTTTATATATAAAAATATATATATATGCACAAATCACTTTTCAATGTTGCTTTTATAGATTTCACCCTGGCCTGTAAAATGGTAAAAAGTTCCAGTTACAGAAGACAACAAAGTAAAATACCCAGAGTACATTGCTTTCCATAAGACCTATACCGCACACATCTGTAATAGTCATCTAATCTTCATTCTTCATATACTTGCTTTGCACAAATTTCCTCACTATAAAACTCCCTAGGGGTACTTGTGGAAAATACAAATGTTTTAGGCCCTTGCCCTAACATTCTAATTCATTAAGTCCGAGGAATCCTTTTTTAATGAGGATGTCTACACGCTCTTTATGATTACTGGAAAAACAGTACCGCATACCACTGTGTGTTAAATTTCAGATAGTCTTGCTCACTTAATTCTAATCTCCCTTCCCCAGCTTCAGCTTAATTTCTCCCTCTTTAGTCATTTTTGCTGTTATGTAGAATGATAGTGAAAAAATACTGGATTGGTTCGTATTTCCTTTTTAGTCTTACAGAAGTAGTACTTGCTTATAATAATAATAGTAATAATAAAAGCCAAACATTACAGAAACAGAATAACCTGAAAGAACTGGAGTTTAAATTTCTGATAAAATATGGCTAAGGATCAGAGGCAAAGTGATAAATGTCTTTAAAAATATTTTCTTTTGGAGGAGCAAAAGAAGGCTGGGTAACTAAAGAAGTATATTGAGTGTGCCAACCAATGAGGCTCCAGATTTCAGTCAATTCTTCTGTCAAAAGAAGTCCCAAATGCCATTTTTTATTCATCCACTACTCTAACAAGATACTCCAAATACGCACTCTTCATTACTCTTGGTTATTAGGAGGGGATAATTTCCCATAAGCCAGGAAATTATCCAAACACACTTGTATATTCACAAGCTGTATTTATTTTCAACCTAAGTATTTTAGTAAACTAACTGACAGACCCCAGCTGGCTGTCCAGTATAAATTTGAAAGGGTTACTCCTAACCCTTGAAGATTGATATTTTAGGAGGAATTGATACATTTTAAGGTTTTGTGATAAATCTTCAGTGAAAATGCATAAGACCAGGAATAACATCTTTGAATTTTCTTTTCCCATAATCAATTTGTCTTTGCCATATTTGCCCTTATTTTTTATATTAACTTAAAGACTGAATAATTCTACTGCAGATAAATTCTAATTTTAGGAATGTTTCTATGATGTTTTAATTTTAATCATTTGCTTTTTAAATAGTGGACTTCCTGCCCCATTAAAACAATTATGTAGTATTTTGGGGAAATTAGCAGCCCTAGAAAGAACTCTTTTTTTTTTTCTATTTGTCTTCAGATAGAGTAGAAGGGAGAGAGAGGAAGAGAAAGGGGGAGAGAGAGAGAGAGACATCGATGTGAGAGGGACACATTGACTGGTTGCCTCCTGCACAACCCTGACCAGGGTCGGGGAAAAACCGCAACTGAGGTACATGCCATTAAATGGAATCGAATCCCCAACTCATGGAACAACACTCTACCGCTGAGCCAAACCGGCCAGGGCGAAAGAACTCTTTAAAGAGAGGTTCTAGTACCTGTGGCCGCTCAGTCTGCACCCGACGAAGGCAGTCTACACCATAGATCACTGTATTCTCAGGGATGACTTCAAATGTATTGAGGTTGCAACAAGCCCCAATGATGCAACCACTTGTCAGTATTACATTTCTGCCTACATAAGCTGCAATAAAAACAAAGAAAGAATTACAATGTAAGACATCAAATGATTAGAACACTATTTTTTTCTAAGATGATTTAGGTATTAAAATGCAAACTGGCTTAAGAAAAAAATTAAAGAAAATACTTCATTTTAGAGTTTGTATAGCAGCAGGTGCCAGACGAGTATTCAGAACCAAGCTCTGCGGCTGATTAGATGTGTGACCTTGGTCAAGTCACTATAAATTCTCTGAGCAAGTTTATTCATAAATGAAAAGACCACCCTACTTCTCAGTGCACTGAAGAAATAAATGGGATCGTAAATGTACAGTGCTGAGCACAGGTTTGACACATAGTACGTATATAATAAATAGAAGATGACAATGATGATGGTAATAGTAATTAGTAATCCAAATTAAAATGAACCATTAAGTAGATTCACAAAAGGTCTAATTTTATTATGTAAAAAGAAAAGCAAATTGGAAGACCTTTTCTACATTCTCCAGTCCAGGAGATCCATTACAACTGAAATCCTGGAGAAATCAACACCCTGAGGACCAACTATAGCCCCGTGGGATCGTATGAGGTGCTGCTAGTCACCCATTCTTCAGTGAAACTTCAAGGAATTAAGCCATGGATTCACCACACCTGAGTGAAGCAAATACCATCAGATTCTCCAATAGAAAATAGACTCCAGAAAGACCCCACTGGAACAGAATCGAGAGATCCCCTAAATCTAGAGATACCATGGGGAAAGACCACAGGCTCCAAGAAGTCTACCATAACAGCAGAAGACTCTTTAGATACCACGGCAATGCAGAAGAGCCGACACAAGAGTCCTGCAGAAACCTGCCTTCCACCCCAAGTCATATTATACCTCCTTTACCAAGATTCAGAATTACAGTTCCTCTTGCTTTCCACGCAGAGGTCCCTTTTCAAACCCCTTAATATCCCTGGTCTTTTCTCTCTAGAGAGATGGATCTGGGCTTTCTCCCCATCTTCTCATTTGGCTGCCTCTCAAAATAAACTCTGTGCTCGTTACATTTAAAAAAGTGAAGCATTTTCTTTCATGACAACCAGAACCAAGATAAAACATTATTCTAAAGAAGTCTCATTGTTCAGGATCTTTCTGGACCTTAGTAGAACAAGTTCTTGGAGCTGCTTCTTAGCAGTGGTGGTGACTACCTGACCCCATGCCTGGTCCCATTTATGATAAGTAGCTTAGATTTGTTTCTGATTGTCTAGGGTAGTAGACCTGAAATTAAAGAAAGCAAATGGCTAGAGAAACTGAGTTTTTAAAATTCTACAATAACACTAATCAACTAAATTATCACTGACACTAGTAATTAGTATATATCTTTCCTAAACTTTCATTTGAACTTTCCATAATGTTCAGTTCTGATTTAAATATACACAAGCTGAATTTTTAATTTAATGTATTAAACACATTACTGGATCAGGTTCCTTAAAGGCACATAATGACATTAGTCTCACAGCTACTGTAGTCTACTTCCAAGCACTTTTCCTTCATGCACACCACTTTGCCATAGTCTGTACAGGCTCACCTGGGAAATATTGCAGGTTTGGTTCCAGACTGCCGCAATGAAGCAAATATTGCAATAAAACAAGTCACACAAAGTTTTCGGTTTTCCAGTGCATATAAAAGTTATGTTTATACTATACTGTAGTCTATTAAGTGTGCAATAGCATTATGTCTAAATAACAATGTACACACTTTAATTAAAAAATATTTTAATGATAAAATTGCTAACCAGCATCTGAGCCCTCAGCAAGTCATAATCTTTTTGTTGGTGGACAGTCTTGCCTTGATGTTGATGAAAACACACTACCTGGAAAGCGCAATAAAGTGAAGAGCAATAAAGCAAGGTATGCCTGTGCTTAGGTTGCATTTCAGATACCACAAAGACAAAGAAGGTAATCACTTTTCACAATAAAACTGCCAACATAGCTTACCTTTTGATTCAATAACGTTATTATCTCCCATTTTCATGGCTTGGGAATCTGTAAACCAGAGTTAAGCAAACATAAAACATGTTCCCTTTTTTCCCTACTAATTCACTGTGACCTTATCCTGCATCGGGGCAGAGGACAGAGGCGTGGGAAGGGCCATGCAAGCTCAGTCTGGCCGACATTCCTTGCTCAGGGGAGTCTGAGGGTAAAGTTTTAATCTTTAAATATAAATATCTCTAAGTACAAATAAATGACTTCTATGTTTTTTAAAGAAATGAACAACTTACACCCAATTCTAAGAGTACCATATTTCCACAATGGTTTTAAAAAAGTTAAAACTACCTATCACTCAATAACTTAATGATAACAATGTTGATAGTTTGAGCTCTTTAGATAATTATGTATATTTCCCTTTATATAACTGGGAATCAAACTGTAAAAATCAAACTGTATAAATTTTTATAGCTTACTTTAGTTGGTTCCTTTAAATTTACAAACATTATTATATACCATTAAAATTGTTAAAAAACATAATTTTAAGTGACTGCGTAATGGTCACAATAGTCCATTTTATGTTTTATTTAAATATTTGCTATTGTTAAACTTTTAGATTTTTTTCCTCCAAGTATTTTCTGTTATAAAGTAATGATTTGCTCACACCATAAAAAATCTTTACTATCTTTTTTGTGTGTGTGTGGTATGTGCCTCTAGCGGGAACCGAACCTAGGACTCTCTGGTCTGCAGGCTGACGCTCAACACTGAGCCAAACTGGCCAGGGCAAAACTTCACATTTTTATTTCTTTCTTTTTTTGTTTTGGTACGTGCCCCTAGCGGGAACTGAACTTGGGACTCTCTGGTCCGCAGGCCCTTGCTCCAACCACTGAGTCAAACCAGCCAGGGCTCTTTACTATCTTTTTAGAGTACATACATCAAGCAAAAGAACTCGTGACACTCTGGGAGAAAAACAAAGAATGAAGTATTTTCATCCCATCCACCATTTCCTTGCACCAGACAATGTACTGTCAGCCTAAAACTACATGGGAATCAAATGGACAGAGCTGTGGTTCTTAAATCAGGACAGAAACTAGGATTACCATTTCTGTGTCTACCGTCACTTAGTCATTGTTACTTATTAACAAGTTACAGCAACAGGAACAAGATGGTACCTTCAAAATGCTGAGCTAAAGGTGTGTTTGTGTGGGCAAGTGCATCTGAAAATGGCATTCTTCCTTCACTAGGTTATTTAGCAGAAGAGAGGGAATACTTTTTTATATATACTGCAACTAAATCTTCTCAAAGAACTGGATGGCCTAGCTCTAAAAATGTACTTAATATATATATAATAAATATATTGGATAGATAAATTATGACAATTTCTACCAAGAGTTTTCGGTACTAAAAGACAGCTGGGAATGATCTATCTCAAATTATTGTAAAGGATACAACAGCCAACTTCAAACACATTATTGGTACCAATGATCATAGGTTTGGGTTCTGGATCTTCAGTGTCAGGGGTGATATTATCAGGGTAACTGTAAAAAGAAGAGACAAGTCATCAACAAGTCAATAATGCAATAAGCAATTCTCCTGTTGTAGAATTTGGGTTCATTCTCTCAATTCTATCTACATCAAGCTTAAAATATGTAATGATGTAAGTAACTTCTTAATCCAAGTGCATTATTTAACCCTTACACTTGATTCAGAGTTTTTTAAAAAACTAATTTATAGTTTTGGCTTGGCTCAGTGATTGAGCGTCAACCCATGCACCAAGAGGTCACCAGTTCGATTCCCAGTCAGGGCACATGCCCAGGTTGTGGGCCCAATCCCCAGTGGGAGGCATGCAGGAGGTGGCCAATCAATGTTCTCTCTCATCTATGTTTCTATCTCTCTCTCCCTCTCCCTTCCTAGCTCTCTAAAAAAAAAAAAAAATCATTGAAGAAAAAAAATTAAAAATAAAAAAATAAAATAAACTACTGAAATGTAAAGAAGTCAGAGTATATATATATAGGACAGCCTTCCTTTTACTTTTTATTTATTTATTTATTTTTTCTTTATTGATTTTAGAGACAGAGGAAGGTAGAGGGAGAGAGAGACAGAAACATGGATGAGAGAGAACATCCATTGGCCACCTCCTGCGTGCCCCTCACTGGGGATTGGGCCCACAACCTGGGCATGTGCCCTGACTGGGAATTGAACCAGCGATCTCTTGGTGCATGGGTCGACGCTCAAACACTGAGCCACACTGGCCGGGCCCCTTTTACTTCTTAAACTCAAAGCTTAGAGGACCTTCTCCAGGACAAGGTGAAAACGGATACTGGCTATAACCTTTAGCTTTTTAAAGTGGAATCCAAGTCATGCCCAAGTTGAAGATAGTCACATAAAATAATTATTTTATGCTGTTAGGTAATTAGTTGAAATATTTAGAATATAAAATGTTTGTGGTCTAAGCCCTGGCCAGGTGGCTCAGTTGGTTAGAGCATTGTCCGGATACGCCAAGGTTGTGGGTTTGGTCTCTAGTCAGAGCATGTGTGCGTGCGCGCGCGCGCGCGCGCGCGCACACACACACACACACACACACAGAGTTTGTGCTCTAAGAGGAGGAAGTCATTTTAAAATGGTGATTCATTCCTGACAGCTGAGTTACTGCAGAATATAGCTGTTGTTAATTGACTTACGATAAAGGTGCCAAAATATTATTTTAAAAAGAAATTGCTTAATATAGCAAGAAACTCCCAAATCCTAAGTAAGCTTTAAGACAAAAAAAAAAAATCTCTTTATCAGTTAAGCATTTTCCCAAGGTCTTTGTTAAAAATTCCACACATTGTTGCTATAAATTAGGTATAAGCTTGAATTTCCTGCCAACATTTTATCTAGAAAGCTTTATAAATGCTTATGAAAATTTCATAGGTATTACAGTCTAGTTCACTAAGATCATGTACATGTTCTAATATTTTATTATTATTTTTTAATCTTTAAAGTTTAAAAATTGCCTCTAGGACCCCAAATTTTCCTAATATAATTCTGGGTATTATCCCTACAAATCATATAAAGATAACATTTCAGCCAGAAACAAGAAATCCAACCAAAAGACTCTCTTCAGGGTGGCCAGCACAGCACTTGGACACTGGCGGCACTCAGGAAATGTTTGCTTAAGGAATAGAGGAGGCAGTGGTATGTAAGGGGAAGACTATCAGACTGAGAGTTGGAGAGTCCAGTGGGCCACCAACCTACCACCTTGGACAAGTCTCTTCACTCATCTGGTCTTTAGTTTCCTCATTTACTAACTACTTGTGTAGAAAAAGATCTTTAATGCTGCTCTAGTTCTGAAACAGTGGGCTTTCCAGAAGTCAGTTATAAAAGGTTCCTGCAGTTAGCTGAAATTAAGAAAAGCACTCTCTGTGGTACTTAGTTCAGAGTTTCTGTAAGAGTCTTACTCACGCATTTATGATCAGTGCCTGTTCTTCTATTAGGTTACCTTCACCAATCACTATTGGTCCGGCCTCAGCAATGATTCGTGCTTTAGGGTGTATCACTGTTCTAGGTCCTGTTAAAAGCATGGTGAAAGGAAATTATTAGTGGAGCCTATGCTTCAAATAGGAGCATAGCAGGTGACTAAGGAGGGGTGGGGGAAGGCTATTGGGAGGAACGTTTTCTAAAGTATGTGCCAGGCACCACACAAGGCACTTGACAAATGTTATCTCCTCAGCTGTTATCATTAGTAGTTAGTGCCAAATCGCAAACCAAGGCGAGTGGAGACAGCGCAGGCTCTGGGGCCAGACAGCCCTGGCTCACCCGCTATTTTGAAGCCCCTGTTATCTAAGCGGTGAAACGGAGGTGGTGGTGATACCAGTCCTGCAGGGTTGTTGTAAGGATTAGATGAGATAATGTTTGTAGACCCAATATTCTGGCACATAGTTGGCCACAAAAATTAATTCCCTTCCTCCTTTCTTTCATAAAGTTGAACCACCTAATACTTTCTTATGCTAGTGTACTACAGGATTAGTCTATTAAATGATGAAGAGGGAATATGGGTGGGATAGGAGTCAGAAAACATGGAAACTAATCTTGGCTTTGTTACTTTGTCACTATCCCAATTACAAGTTCACCCATGGGGAGGAGGCAGAGCTTCTGTTTTCTCTTCTAGGGTGTGATTTTTTTTTTTTTTTTTAATCCTCACCTGAGCACATTTTTCCATGGAGTTTTTGAAGACAGAGTAGAAGGGAGGGAGAGGGAGAGGGAAAGAGAGTGAAACATCGATGTGTCTGATGTGAGAGAGACATGTCAATTGGTTGCCTCCCACAAGTGCCTGACTTTGGCTGGGGATTGAACCTGCAACCCAGGTACGTGCCATTGACCGGGAATCGAACCCATGACTCTTCAGTGGGTGGGCAGACGCTCTAACCACTGACCCATGCCAGCCAAGTCTAGGATGTGATTTTTAACCAGTTAAAGGTTAAAGGGGGCCAGTGGAAGGAGTCATGTGTGATTACTGAAGTCCTGAGACTGATACAGGGAGACCTGAGGCAATGCCTCCCATCTCAAACGGAAGGGAGCAGGAAGGGCTCTCAAGCGTCCAGCTCCTGATCAGGGTGGTGGAGGCACGCATCGCCTAAGCACAGATTCTGGGACGCTAACACCTTCCCTCTGCTGGCTTTTATTCACCCACAGTCCTTGCATGTTGGTGACAATGAAACTCCTGACGAGAAAACCTCATTCTGGCCTCTCCCTCCAACACCCACTCTACCCATCCCTAATCCCAAAGCTATTTTTATTGGTAAACCAGCAGACAGGAAGTAGCTGACTGAGAGTAAGAGAGGGAGGCAGAGTGTTGACAGAACGTGGGGAGGGAGTCAGGAAGATGACACTGACTATGAAATTCAATTGTATAAATTGCTGCGTTAGTCAATAATCACCATCTGCTTGTGATAGGCAAGATTCAGTGCTGTGTGTTATGGGGAAACAGATATACATTCTCCTTTTGCCCTTTGAGCTTGTCATCTTAAAAACTGGGAATACTTCATGCACTCATTCACAGTGTATTAAAATGAATAAGGAGGTGTTCCTGGTACCCAAAGAATTAAAAGGAACCTCAGTGAAGCTTATTCTTTTCCTAACAATGAAGAGCTGGGTCTTGACGAAGGGGTGGGGAACTACAGCAGGATGCAGTCAAAGGACACATGGTCTGGAAAGAAATACACGAGAGTGGCTGTGTTACTTCTGTCACCTCTGGCTCCCCAAACCCTCAGCTGTTAAAGTAAATTTCCCTGGCAAATTCGTCTCTTTGGTATACGAGAATTCAGGATAGAAGATGGCATCTCTCAGATCCTTGGGAAGCTTCCCAACTTGACCATGGTTGTGAACACATGTGCCTTTTTGGGGGGGGGGAGGGGGGTAAAAAAATACACACAACTTGGTTGTGGGTTCGATCCCTGGTCGTGGTGTGTAGGGGAGGCAACTGATCAATGTTCTTTTCTCATATCAATGTTTCTCCTTTCTTCTCTAAAATCCTTTAAAAAAAATACCCTCGGATGAGGATTAAAAAAATACGCACAATTTATAAAAGGAATACATGCTTATTACAAACAAAGCAAAAAGTGCAAAGATCCTCTCAATGCTAATCCCATTTCCTAGAGGTAACTATTCTTAAAAGTCTGAGGTTTATTGTTCCAAACTTAAGTATGAGTGTATAAAAACCATATCTTGTTAGGCAGTTAAAAAATAAATTCAACTAGAAGGAGAAAAAACAGATTACAAACACACACTTTTTTTTTAAAACTAAGAAATAGTACGTATTATTCTATAATTTGCTTTTTTCACCTAATAAGTTATGGTCATTTTCCCACATAAGTACATCCAAGTAGATATTCTTTTTAATGGCTGAACAGTATTTCATATCATATTAACATGCCATAATTTATTAACCAATTCCTTAATGAAGGGCATTTGGATGTTACCACTTCTGGGGAGAAGTGCTAAACAAGCTGAAACAAACACTGGATTCCTCTGAAATGAGATATTTCTTACAAGTGTTGCAGCTGTGTGAACCAACTTACACATGTAGTTTGCACAATCCTACATTTACATATTACTTCAAAATGTTCTATGATAAAGGGACATAATCTATTTTGAGTTCTTTGCAATTAAAGCCCCAGCCAGCACCCCACGCCTTGTCTAGAAAGTCTAGACTCTGGCCTCTGTCACTTAAAGGTTATGTGCTTAATCTCTCAAAAGCCTATTTTCTCGTGTATAAAAAGATGAGATCCATAACTACACCATTGCGTTGAAGTGTGAATTACAGGAAATAATGTTTGAAAGGGAGATCATGAGGTATGGTCCATAGTTGTTAAAAAATAGAGGTTCATCACTACCTCTCACTAAGAGCTAGCAAATAATTTTATCATAGTCAGCAAAATAACTCCTGGTCTGAGACACAGAAGAAAAGGGTCTATTTTACTCCCTTACTCAGGTCATCTGGGTAATACCTCCTTTTAGCCGGGAAATTTCTGCCCCTTATTTTAAGATAGTAAAATAAATAATACAGGTGCCTTCCATACTAGCAATAAAAATCGTAGACAGGACGAAGAGATCATCATGGCTGTGAGAAAACGCAGATTCTTTGCCACTGTGAGATAAGTAGCCTGAGGCACTAGATAGTCTGCTGGTCCTCAAGTGGTGGCTTCTGGCAACATGCAGACGTGCAAGAAGATACATGAGAATGGACTAACACAACAAAGGTACCACTGGGACCTGTTTCCTTAAAAGTTGCTCTTTTCCCTTTTAAAAATGATATAATCCATGCTAATTGTATAAAAAAACCAAACAGATAAAACACAACTTCCATCTCAGGTTTTCTTATACAATATTTTTAAATAATGCTTAAGGCGCCCTGGCCGCTTTGGCTCAGCGGTTAGAGCGTCCACCTGAGGTCCGGAGAGACCCGGGTTCGGTTCCCGCTAAGGGCATGTGCCTCGGTTGCAGTTTGTCCCCGGCCCTGGTTGGTCGTGTGGGTGGCAGCCACTCGATGTGTCCCTTTCACATCGATGTTTCCCTCTCTCTCTCTCTCTCTCTTCCTCTCTCTCCCTCCCACTCTGTCTGTACAAAAAATGGAAAAATGTCCTCGGATGAGGATTAAAAATAAAAATTTTTAAATAATGCTTAAGTCATTTTAACAAGGTATTTCTTATTATGATGTTTAATCATTATTAATTAGTTAGTTAGTAAATAACTGGAAAGCTGGTTTCAAATCTGAAGGCCTTGCCCTGGGAGGTCAAGCTTTATCAACAACTGAGGTGAGATCTGTGCTTAAGACACTACCTCCATCTGGTGGCAGCACTGCCACACTACAAGTCTTGGTACCAGGGACGAAATAATGTAAAAGGTCAAACTACCAACTTTGAGTTGTGAAGTAACAGCAAATGTCCTGGGAGACAATAAACTAAACCTCTAGAAGGTCTTTTTTGGGCAGAGACTAGAAAGGTTAGAATACATGTACTTCAGTAAATGTGACTGTTAAAATTTTGGATTGGTGGACTTTTATTTTACTGGCTTTATGTATTACCGTATTTGGGAAGAAAACGTGAATTGTCTCCTCTGCTTCAAAAATAGTCCAAATTTGCCCACATACAACATGATTTGCATGGAACACGTGGCCTGTCTTCCCCAAATATGCATGCACTAGTGAGCACTCCTGGTGGCAGTCACCACCCCCTCTGGTAAATCTGTATCATCTGCATGACGGCATCTGTGCTCCGGAAGCGACAGGCCAGTCTGTCTGTCCTACTGCGGCATGCCCATGGAGCAGAGCTCTTGCATTGACTGCAGAGAGCCAGCTGGAGAGAAGGGTAACACACCCAAGCATGGATTTACTGTTGTACAGTATGTAAGACTGTTTCCTACTCACGAGTCAAGCCCTGGGCTTGTGGGCTGTTTCTATTCCAGCTGATAAACTGATACTAAATATGGTTATCAGTTACTGTAGTACATTCGGACCAGTGACATGTTGGATTGGTGAACTTCTTAAAGGACTGTTCTGACTCAGGTAAGTGATGCGTCCAAGGCAACCCGTTTGCACACAATTTTGTGCTGGAGGTTGGCACCATAGCACTGTCCCACTTCTCTGCATGCAAGAAGCACTTTTACCTAGAATGGGTCTGGATTCAAACCAAGTTTAAGGGTCTTGAGGTTAAAATGCTTTAAAAATAAAAACCTGTCACCATGGAACGTCTGTTTTTTTTTTTAGCGCTGTTGTGAACCTTCTGGGGCTCTCTCTGGCAGCAGAGTGTGTATATTTTCTTACCACATGTGGTGAAACCCTATTTGGCTTATCTCCTTGTTTGGATAAATGTGTCTAGAGTTGGAGCTGCCTTACTGGCTGATGAAATATTTTTCTAAATGGTTGGCTGGGCTTAATGCAACATAGCCAGAAAGACATTCCTTGCATCAAATTTCCATTCCCTTCATTTGGTTAAGGGCATTTTTCCTCTTTATCTTTGCCACAGAAAGCAATCTTTGAGTTTGTTTTCATGTCAATAAATAGTTGAAAAA